AGGTCATGACAGGCTTGGGACACTTCCGGGACAAATGTAAAGCTTTAGGATTCAAAAATTAATAAAGTAAAATCTCACATCCTCCTGCTACAAGAAATTGAAAATATAAGCATTTTAAACACTTGTGTAGATGTGGTGTGTGTGTGTGTGTGTGTGTGTGTGTGTGTGCGTGTGTGTGTGTGTGTCATGTGAGATGGAGCCTTCTAGCTACTGCAGCCTCCGTGTGTGTGTGTGTGTGTGTGTGTGTGTGTGTGTGTGTGTGTCATGTTGACAGCTGAGCCTTCTAGCTACTGCAGCCTCATGCTTTCTGCCCCCAGGACCCTTGCACCAAATATTCTACCTTCATCTTCATCCACAGCTCACTCTACTTAAGGGCCTTTGCACTGCTATTTTCTCAGCTTGGAGCTCCCTTTACCCAGTCAGCCATTGTAGATCCCTGAGTTTCTGGAGCATCCTCAACAAAGCATCACAAATTGGATTGATACAAGAGTAAAAACGTCTGCTTTCATAGTGCTGAGGCCAGAAGTCTAATAGTAGGGCCACAGTCTTCCATCTAGAGTTTCTGTAAGGGTGGTTCCTACGTCTTTCAGTATTTGGAGCACCTGGGTCCTTCCTGCCTCTGGAAGGTCCTTCCTACCTCTTCCAGCTTCTGGGGGCACCAGGTATCCCTTGGCTTCTGACCAAATTACTCCAGTCCAAATTACTCCCTGCTTCCATCTCCAATCAGCTTTATTCCCAAATTTCCATCATGTGTTCGTGTGCCCATACCAGGGCTTGAACTCTGGATTTCACACTTTCTTGCTTCTAGCTGGTGTTTTTACTGTGTGTGTGTGTGTGTGTGTCTGGTGTTTTTACCGTGTTCTGGCTGGTGTTTTTACCGTGTGTTTGTGTGTGTGTTTATATTTTCTTTGGTAGCCAGGCACTGGGTGGCTCGTGTGTGTGTGTGTGTGTGTGTGTGTGTGTTTATATTTTCTTTGGTAGCTAGGCACTGGGTGGCTCATGCCTATAATCGTGTGTGTGTGTGTGTGTGTGTGTGTGTGTGTAATCGTGTGTGTGTGTTTATATTTTCTTTGGTAGCCAGGCACTGGGTGGCTCATGCCTATAATCCTAGTTTCTCAGGAGGCTGAGATCTGAGGATCATGGTTCAAAGCCACCCTGGGCAGGAAAATCCTTGAGACTCTTATCTCCAATTAACCACCAGAAACCAGAAGTGGTGCTCAAGTTGTAGACAGCACTTGCCTTGAAGTGAAGAGCTGAGGACAGTGCCCAGGCTCAGAGTTCAAGCCCCATGACAGACAAAAAAATAAAACAAAATAATAATTTCTTTGGTGATGGGGCTTGAACTTAGGGCCTGGGCACTGACCCTGAGCTCTTTTGCTCAAGGCTAGTGCTGTACTATTTTGAATCACAGCTTCACTTCCAGTTTTCTGGTACTTAATTGCAGATAAGAGTCTCATGGACGGAAGCGGAGCGCTGGTGGCTCACGCCTGTAATCCTATCTACTCAGGAGGCTGAGATCTGAGGATCTCAGTTCAAAGCCAGCCAGGGCAGGAGAGACCGTGAGACTCCTATCTCCAATAAACCACCAGAAAACTGGAAGTGGCGCTGTAGCTCAAGTGGTAGAGCCCTCGCCTTGAGCTGAAGAGCTGAGGGACAGCGCCCAGGCCCAGAGTTCAAGCCCCACGACCAACCAAAAAAAAGAGTCTCATGGACTTTCCTGCCAGGGCTGGCTTTGAACCATGATCAGAGGATCTCAGTTTCCAGAGTAGCTAGGATTGCAGGTATAAATTGTACCCTGCATTTTTTTTTTTAACCTCAAGGCTAGAGTTCTACCACTTGAGCCACAGTTCCAATCCAGCTTATGGGGTAGATAATTGCCATTGGTGCCCAGTAGGTTCACAATTCCCTATTTAATTGTGAGCTAATGATGACTTTGAGACAATGGATCTAATCAGAGTTGACTTAAAAAGCTTTTGCTATCAGGGTAATCGTGTAATGCTTGTAATTCTAGCTTTGCAGGAGGCTGAATCTGTGGATCATGGTTTAAAGCCAGCCCAGGCAGAACAGTCCATGACACTCTTACATCCAACTAACCATCAAAAAACCCTAAGTGGAGCTATGGCTCAAGTATTAGAGCACTAGCCTTGAGTGAAAAAATTAAAAGACCTTGAGTTCAAGCCCCAGTAAGAAGGGGAGAGGAAAGGAAGCATAAGGAGGGAAGAGGAAGTGAATAATAGAATGAATCCAAGTTCTCTAACGTCATTTATTGGAGCAAAGCACAATTTTAATGCCCTATGAGAATACCTCAAATAATTCTGAACAGTTGCTGTTGCCTTCCTATAAGCTACCTCGATTAACTGATTTAGTTCATAAAGAAATAATTAGTAGGGACTGTTACCAGACACATTTTGGAGATGAAGAAACATACACAGCAACCTTGCCTCCAGGACCTGCTTTCTACCACATTAGTCCAGTGCTGCCTTAACATCACAATCAAGCAGAATCTCAAGGAAAATAGTTTATGTACAATACTGAGTGCATGAAAGCAGGGACATTTAATGAGACATTCATAATAAATTACTGCAGGCTAAGCATTGCTCCTAAAGGTTGGTGCCAAGGAGAGGATTAAGTGTCAGGTACCACCTCACAGTATAATCCCCTGGCCTGGAGTGCCACAGATCTGCTTCTCACACCCGTATCAACACTACTCCCAGGTAAACCTCCAGGACTACTCAATTTAGCAAATGCTCAAGCACCACCTGCAAGGCGTATTCTGGTTTTCAGGCCTCAAACCTCATCCTGGAGATAAGCAGGGCTGAAGACAGTTATACCAAATGCAAATGTAAAATGATTCTGTCTTCTGCTTTTAATAGTAAATCTGTAAACTTCAACCATGCCTTCCAAGCTATCCATGGGGAACCCTGTCCCACCCCATATCCTAAGCCTCAGCTTACCTTCCCTTTCAGTGTCTGCAATGAATCCAGGTAGGCAGCCAGCATGGGCAGACTCAGGGTCTCCACGAGGGTAGTGTGCAGCCACTGGATCAGCTTGGTGTCCCAGCTCACACTTGCCAGAGCCTGACGCACCCTCCTTGCACACTTGTCCACAGCAACACGGCGCAGCACGGGCTCATTACAAGCCTGAAAGATGTAAGCAGAAGGAACAAAACAAGAGTTCTACTTGGTTAGAAAATGGGGAAGACAAGTCAGTCAGCCAGTGAAGCCTGAACTAGGAAGGCCCACTGTGGGCAGATTTCTGGCTTACCCCTTCATTGGCCAAGCGGGCAAGCCGATCAGATTGCAGGGCTTTGAGGATCTTGTTGAATAGCTTGTTCTGGGCCATTGTCCAGCCCGTCCTATAATGGAAACTCTGAGGAATTAAAATCAAACCCTAGAGTTGTTCCCATGTATGTTTACCTAAAGAAGATTTTGCCACATTTTTGCTCTCATTATGAAAGCGTGTAACTTGAGATAGCTTAAAATCACTAAGTTAAAACATGAGACCCAGATTCTGGTCCCAATCTTGCCAATGACTCACATCAACACACCTTTTTATCTATCTATCTATCTATCCATCCATCCATCTACCTACCTACCTATCTTTAAGTAGTTGTACAAAGAGGTTTCAACATGTCAGTTTGTAAGTAGTGTGTTTTGATCAATGTTACTCTTTCCACCATTCTCTCTTCATCTGTCCCAATCAGCACACCTCTGTATTAACAACACACACTAAAAACCAAAATCACTACAAGTCTTTCAATGCTAATAAACCTAATTATTAACAACTAAAATAATCACAATAATAAAGAAAGAAATGGCCCCACTGCAGACATTTTTAATTTCTTCACCTTTTTTATATTTATATTTTATTTTTTGAGACAAGATCTTGCTATGTAGCTCAGGCCAGCATTAAATTTGTGCTACTTCTCAGACTCCTGAATTCTGTGACTACACCATACACCACCATGCTGAGGTTGAAATTCTTAAGTTTTATATTTCACACCAAGGCAGAAAGGATCAGCAAATATCTTTACTTTTCCTATAGTACTGAGGATTGAATCCAGGGTCTTGCACATACTAAGCAAGCACTTACTCTGACACTTAGCCAGACCTTCTACCCTTCTGCTTGTATTGTGTTTTTGAGACAGGGTCTTGTTAACTGTGTGTAGGCTTAAATCCTCCTGCCTTTGCCTCCTGAGTAGCTGGGATTACAGGCATGTGTCATTATATACAGCTTCATCTACATTTTTTTTTGAGACAAGATAACAAAATAAGAAACTCAGTATTTGTTTACCAACTTTCTCTGTCATTAAAAAATAAATAAAAAGAAACTGGTAATAACTTTTGAAAATTGAAGTGGAGAGTAGACACAAGTGAGATAGATCAAGGTAGCATTTCATATCCATAGGGATAAAGTTATTAAGTAGAGACAACCAGTAGAAAATCTAAATTCTGCCCGGGCACCAGCAGCTCACGCCTATAATCCTAGCTACTTAGGAGGCTGAGATCCGAGGACTGTTGTGAGGCTCTTATCTCCGATAACCACCAGAAAACTGTAAGTAGTGCTGTGGCTCAAGTGGTAGAGCACTCTAAAGAGCTGAGAGACAGTATCCAGACCCAGAGTTCAAGCCCCATGACTGACAAAAACAAATAAATAAATTCAAATCCCTATACATCTCTTTTTACATCAAAATAAATTTCAAATGTTTAGCAAAAAGCTAAACATTAAAAAATAAAGCTATCAAAGTTCTAGGGGAAAAACAGTGATTATTTACTTACCTACCTACCTACTTCTACCTGTCTGTCTTTGAATAAGACTAAGGATTACCCCAAACTTAGAAGTAAAAAGAGAAAAATATAACTGCATAAAATTTCAAACCTCTAGGGCTGGGAAGGTGGCTCAGTGGTAGAATGCTTGCCTGAGGCCCTGGGTTCGATTCCTCAGCACCACATAAGCAAAAAGAAAAAAAGCCGTAAGTGGCGCTGTGGCTCAAGTGGTAGAGCGCTAGCCTTGAGCTGAAGAGCTGAAGGACAGCGCCCAGGCCCAGAGTTCAAGCCCCATGACCGGACCCCCCAAAAAAAAATTTCAAGCCTTTATTAAAGAAGTATCATAAACAAAGTAAAAACAGTGGAAAAATAATTGACAGTGCTTTTAAATGCTAGAAAAATTATCAAAAAAAAGATGAAACAAATGTGGAAGCTAGATCTAAAACACGACTTATGTATGGTAACATATACAAGGCTCAATACATTTATACACAAACAAACTAAGGGAGGGTATACTTAGGGGAAGAATTCAAAGGCATACATCTTTTGAAACACTATAAGGTACTGTTTATCAAAATGAATACTAGGAAATAGAAACATGTTTTTTGAGGGGGTAAAGGATGGCATAGGAATGGAGGAGGAGTAAGCAAATGTAGTCCATTATATTCAATAGATACTATATAAAAATTAAACTATGTAATTTGTGGGTAGAAATAGGATAGGAAAAATGGGGGAGGAAAAAGGGGTGACACTGACCAAGAACCACTGTGCTTATAACCTGACCCCTTTGTACAACTCCTCAGTAATAACAATAAAAAAAAATACTCAACAGACAACATACAAAGGTAGATCACAGCCAGATGCCTGCTTGGTCACTGCATCACTTGGAAGGCTAAAGCAGGAGGATCCTGAATTTGAAGTTAACCTGGCTATTTAATGAGACTGTATTAAAGGAAAAAAAGGTAGGTATAGCATCTCACCTCACACCTGTAATCCTAGTTCCTCAGGATTTGGGTTCAAGGCCAGCCAGTGCAAAAGTTCTCAAGACCCCCATATTCATCAGTAAAACTTGGTCCTAATGATACACACCTGTCATTCCAGCTGTATTCCAAGTATAGCTAGGAGGACAGAGGTCTGTCTAGGTAGGCCCAGGCATAAATTCAAGATCCTATTCAAAAAAGAAACTAAGACAAAAAGGACTAGTAGTAAAGTGCCTACCTTAACAAGCCCAAGGCCTTGAGTTCAAACTCTCTAGTACCCCCCCACACAATTACCTATCAAGTAAGTAAAAATTTAAAGTTTAATACCCCTGTGCTATGAGAATATAATAAATTAATAGATCCTCCATATTCTTTCTGTTTATCTCATCCAGGTCTAATGCTAGCGAGGCAAGCACTCTTCTACTTGAACAATGTCTCAGTTTTTTACTTTTTAAGTTTGGTTTTGAAATAAGCACTTTGTACTTTTGCCTGAGCTAGTCTTGGAATACAATCCTCCTTCTGCTTTCAGAGTAGCTGAGATTACAGGCATGTACCTCCATGACCAGACAGTGGCCTCACTTTCTCCCTAAAATAGAATCTCTACCTAAGACATCTCTCATTTTACAACTTACCAGTTGCACAGTCTTAAGCGAATCCTAAACTAGGAACCAGGACTTTACCCAGAGCTCTAAAGGGCTGGTTGTGTGCCCTGAGTCTCCTGTATATAAAATAGATATGGACCAGATAACCCTGACATTATCAAATATACGGGTCAGCATGACCACTGGTAAGGATAACAACTAAAATCCATGACTGCAGAGATAGAACCAGGTAACCTCTTTGGCAGTGCCTTTCCATGCATCATCAGAGCTTGCTATAGCTAAATCCTTCCTGAACCTCCAAAGCTACTTTGCCTTTTATAATCACTTGTGGATGCTAGAAGCAATCCTAGGCTTCTGGGGATTGTCCTTTCTCTTCTTGTGCTTTAGTTTTCCTGGTTTAATTCCCATTACTTCATCAGGATGCAGTCCATTTTTGTTGTGGTTTAATATTAAAAGACTGGTTTAGCCAGGCACCACTGGCACATGCCTGTAATCCTAGCAATTCAGGAGACTGAGATCTGAGGACCGCATCTTGAAGTCAGTCTGGGCAGGAAAAGCCTGTAAGAAGACTGTTATCTCCAATTAACTATCCAAAAAAGCTGGACATAGATCTATGGCTCAAGTGGTAGAGCTAGCCTTGAGCAAAGCAGTTCAAAGACAGTGCCCAGGCACTCAATCCAAGCCCTCAAGAACCAGTACAAATAAAAATCAAAATTCAAAAGACTCGATTTGGAAAGTGAAAGCTTCAACTTCATGTTGGATTCAGACTACTTCAGAGGCTTGTGAGACCAGAAGCTCCAGACCACTGGTTTACAATCCCATTTTCCTTCATATTATTGCATATTAACATGAATAGCATGCTTTTTATGTATACTGCCTCTTGGGTAAGATTGAGGATTGGATGGAGATAACAGGAGAGAGAGAATGCTCACAAACAGTATAGGAAAACCTCTCTGGAGACACAAGTATCTACCTCCACGTTAATAGACCTCCAATGTCCTATCCTATTTAGGTTAAGTCTCTCTTCCACTGTCCCTTTCCCCCACCCCTTCTCTCTTCCTCTTCCTTCTTCTCTCTCCTTCCCTTTTTCTTTTTCTCTGTTTTTGTGCCAGTACTGGCACTTGAACTACAAGGGACTTGATACTGTCCCTTATCTTTTTCACTCAAAGCTAGTGTTTTACCATTTGAGCTATAGTTCACTTCTGTTTTTTTTTTTTGTTTTTTTTTTGGGGGGGGGAGAGGATGGTTAATTGAAGATAATAATCTCACAGACTTTCCTGCCTGGGCTGGCTTTGAATCATGAGTTCCTTAGAACTCAGCCTCCAGAGTTGTAAGACAGGCATGAGCTACCAGTGCCTGGCAGTTGAGTCTTAATTGAATTGTAGTGATCACCTTTCCATTCTCCCTCCATTCACATATATACATTTATAAGTTTGTGCAAGTACCTCTGCAGAACAAATATCTCAAAGTAAAATAGAAAAAGTAAAGACTATCTGATTAAAATTTCCAGAATTTCCAGTTCTGTGAAAATAATGTATCAAAGGAACCATAGCATCATTAAAATGGTACTATATTGTAGTCTTTCTCAAAGTCAAATAGAAAGAGAAAGATTATATGATTAAAATTTCAGAATTTCAAGTTCTGTGAAAATAATCTATCAAAGAATTCACAGCATCATTAAAATGGTACTATACTGTCATCTTTACTGCCAACATCTTTGAGCTGTTTTTCCTCTCTTCCCTCTACCTTACTTTCCGGTAATAATTTATCATCAACTGGTTTCAGTAAGGAATTTTGTTTTGTCCAACAATTTCTAGAGCCTTCTCAAAACTTACTTACATTGAAAATTTCAGCTTCCAGAACAGAAAATGAAGCTGGACACTGCTGGCTCACACTTGCAATCCTAACTGCTCAGGAGGCCAGGATCAGCAGGATCACAGCTAAAGGCCAGCCAGGGTAGAACAGCCTGCTAGAGTTCCCCCCCGCCCAAAAAAACAGAAAAGGCTGGGCCAGAGGCATTGCTAAGGTGGCAGAGTGCCCACCAAGAAATCAAGTTGAATGAGTACAAGGCCCTGAGTTCATAGTTCAGAAATGCCAAGGAAAGAAAAACAGAAGAAAAGGTACAATTTATGAAGCACGAAGAGTATATCCAAACTTCTCTCACTCTTCAGTGTACAAGATGATGTTTTCTCTATTTTTCTTGCTCTATATTTACTGAAACACAAAATGATGAGAACAAGAAAAATGATGTGAACACAAGGGGAAGCTAAAAGTTATTTAAGCTAAAAGACATTTAGAAATTACTACCATACACTAATGAGAGCAGAAATTAAATTTTAAAACCACAATGCTCAGTCTAAAATCCTAGAAAAAGTTCTTAGGATTGTTACTGATATATAACAAAGTGATCCTAAGAATTGAAACATGTTCTCTTTATTTTGTCAGCTTCGTGGGAGGCTATAAAATTAAGTGGGCAGAAAAAGTGATCTAACCCAAGATTAAGATAAAGAGCATGGGAAAGATATAATTAAGACAAAATTTAAAAACAGGAGACAGAATTTTAAATACAAGTCTAAACAGTCAAATAGCTGATGGGAACTGGTGAGTCAACTGGCTCTTCCTCACTCCACGTAAACCTATTCAATTTTCCTGAGTGACAAAAATTCCTTTCATTTCTAAGATGAGATCAGAAATCTATTGTCTCCCATGCTCTGACCAACTCCAAATGATATAGTGACCTGTGGCTCATCCTATTCAAAGTTGGCAAAACACTACATTGTCGTAGAAAAACACCGTCTGTTCTTCCTTCCTGCCTTCCCCTTTTTTGGTAAAAGGGTCCTGGTAATGTCAAACTCTATTGTCCTGCCAGCCTCCCAGGTGCTTGGATTACAGAAATGTACCGCCATGCTAGACAAACTTGATAGTTAAAAAAAAAAATCATTATTTCCCTGTTTCAAATGAGACTAAGTCAACAGTAAAATGTCTATAGATTTTTAAACTGAACATTAGAGAAACTTGACAAAAATTAAGTTTCAAAAAGGAAGGAAAGGTGTCTCTCCTTTTGATCACCCAACTGTCTATGGGCTTCTGCTTGCCTGCTTACTCAATAAAGCACTGCTAAGTTTTCTTTTTAATTTTTTTTTTTTTGGGTCCGGTCATGGGGCCTGAACTCTGGGCCTGGGCGCTGTCCCTGAGCTCTTCAGCTCAAGGCGAGCGCTCTACCACTTGAGCTACAGCGCCACTTCCGGTTTTCTGGTGGTTTATTGGAGATAGGAGTCTCACGGTCTCTCCTGCCCGGGCTGGCTTTGAACCGCGATCCTCAGATCTCAGCCTCCTGAGTAGCTAGGATTACAGGCGTGAGCCACCAGTGCCCGGCTTTAGAGCACTAGTCTTGAGCTGAAGAGCTGAGGAGCTGAGGGACAGCACCCAAGCCCAGAGTTCAGGCCCCACGACCGGACCCCTCCCCCCCCCCAAAAAAAAAGATAAAATAAATTAAGAAACTGTGAGCCAGGTATGATGATAGTACATGCCATTTCCCTCAGCACTTGGGAGACAGAGACAGAAGGAACCTGGGCCACCCTTGGGTCTCTTTTTGAGGGGGTGAGGGGAAGCTGGGGCTTGAGCTCAGGACCAGGGTGCTGTCTCTAGATTTTTTGCTCAAGGCTAGTGCTCTACTACTTGAGCCACAATTCCACTTCTAGCTGTCTGCTAGAGAAAAGTCTCACAGACTTTTCTACCCAGGCTGGCTTTGAACTGTGATCCACAGAGCTCAGCTTCCTGATAACCAGGATTAAAGATGTGAGCTGTGCCTAATTCTTTACTGCAGAGGGTTTGGCAGTCAAGGACACTCTACTCTGGAGCCAGATGGACAAATCCCTGCCCCACAGTTTTTTTTAAGGTTTCCTATCTCTGGGCTGCTTCATCTTGTGAAACAGATTAAAAAGGGATAGATCCCCAAGAGTCCCTGGGAAGATTTAAAAAAGAGAATGCATATGAAGCACTTGGAGGAATGTCTGGCACTCAGTAAGTAGTAGCTCTTTGTTATTACTATCTTTGTATAGTTTATTGTTGACTATAACAATGGGGATAAACACTTTTTCTGAACTCCTTGATCCTGACAATATTCCAGACTTTCATTCACAACAATTTTCCTCTTTATCAGAAGCATTCCTCTTAAGATATTACTTTAATTTCAATTAAACACTCCAACCAACTTCTTGACAAGTGGGGGGGGTAGGGGCGGGGGAGAAGCTGCACGTCCACACAGGTACACTAATACTGGAGCTTGAACTCGGGGCCTAGGTGCTAATCACTCAAGGCTAGTGCTCTACTTAAACCACTTAAACCACAACTCCACTTCCAGCTTTTTGGTGGTTAGAGATAAGAATTACAAGGACTCTCCAGAGTAGCTAGGGTCATAGGCAAGAGCCACCAATGGCTGGCTTGAAAATGTGTGTGTGTGTGTGTCTGTGTGTGTTGGTCCTGGGGCATTGTCCCTGAGCTTTTTTGCTCAAGGCTAGCGTTCTACCACTTGAGCCATAGCTCTTCTTCTGGCTCTTTGGTGGTTAACTGGAGATAAAGTCTCATGGACTTTCCTGCTTGGGTTGGCTCTGAACTACAATCCCTCAGATCTCAGCTTCCTGAGTAGCTAAGATTACAAGCATCAAACACTGGTGACTGGAAAAAAATTTTTTTTCTTCTTTTTATTTTGGGTAGATCATGGGGCTTGAATTCAGGCCTGAGTGCTGTCCCTGAGCTTTTCTGCTTAAGGCTAACACTCTATCACTTTGAGCCACAGTGCCACATCTGGTTTTTGGGTGGTTAATTGGAGATAAGTCTCATGGACTTTCCTGTCTGGGCTGGCTTTGAACTTCGATCCTAAGATCTGTCTCCTGAGTAGCTAGGATTACAGATGTGAGCCACCAGCACCCAGCAAAAAGCTATTTTTTTCTTCTTTTTTTTCTTTTTTTATTGTGAAAATACCATACAGAGGGGTTACAATTACATGGGCAAAAAATATGTATATATTTTTAAAGCTATTAAAATGTTAACTTTTTATAATGTGATTCCAAAACATTTTCATTATCCTGGTCACAAACCAGAATAATGCAATTTTTACAAACATACTTTTCATTCTTTTTGTAGTAAGGATGACTCCTATATTGTGCAAACATCAAAACTAATCATATCTATCACATTTAATTCATTTATTTATTCCATAAACATTTGGTGGGGGAGGGGTGGAAAATAGGATCTTATATATCCCAGGATGACCTAGAACTTGGCAATTCTCCTGCTCCATCTTCCCAAGAAGATTTCATTCACATTTCAAACATGTGCTATTAATCTCAGAAAGTAAACTGTGTGGGGCTTTTTAGTTTGTCTTGTGATGCTGGGAATACAATCCAGGGCATCATGTATCTCACTGAACTACTGCATCCTCTGGCCTACCTCTATTTCCTTTTTTTTCTGAGATGAAGTCTCACTATATTACCTAAGCTGGTTCCTAATTGCTGAGCTCAAGTGATGCTCTTGCCTCAATCTTCCATGTAGCTGGGGCTATAGATAATCAAGAATGCATCTGCTCTCAATGAACATAATATGCCTTCTGTGTGGCAGACAGTATTCTAGTAGCAATGACAGTGAGACAGCTGAAATGTAAGTCCTACTCTCAAGGAGCTCATGGCAGAATGAGCTGAAGAGTTAAAATGCAGAGTGAGAACATTCTGACTTAGGTGCCAAAAATCAAATAAACTCCTAATTAATGTGTTTCAATGAAAATGATGATACAAAATAATGACAAGGGTGACCATTAACCCTACAGGGACCCACATGCCTACCTGTTAACATGCTCCTCCCAGTCTTCTGGTGGGGGAGGGGCATCTGCATCCGTCCTGGCAAAGATGACATGCCTTTCACACTCGTTCATCACACTGCGTGCCTTCTGATTGTCATAGAGTGGCATAGGAGTTGACGTGACGGTCTCCACATCTATTGGGATGTCTGATTCACTGTAAACAGGTGAGGAAATAGGACCAGGCCACCCATACTTCACACAATACAACTGTCTAACAATCATTTTCATCTTTCCCAAACTTGCCTAGACCTCTGCACTTTTTGGTATGTGCTATAGGAACACAGAGTCATTTTAAGACCATACAAAAAGTGACAAAGCAGCTATTTAAAAAGACAAATATAAGCTTTAAATTAACAAAATCAACCAGAATGAAAAATTAGTTGTTCATCACACTGATCACATTTCAAGTACTCAGCAGATATATGTAGCCCCTGCCTACAAAAGGGATATCACAGGATTAGAACATTTCTTACTACTACAGAGATTTCTGCTGGACAATACTGTCTAGAGTTTTAAATTATTCATAAAAACTTAAATTATTCATAAAAACTTGCCTTTCTGCTAGCAAATGAACTGGTAGTTAATTCTATGCTTGTAAAGTCTGTAGTTGTCTAAGACAGTACACTTGGAATGCAGACACCTTAGTTATTTAACTAACTCATTTTGTACAGATACTAAAACAAATATAAATGGAAAAGTGAATCTAAAACTTGACGTTAATGAAATTCAAGGGGCATGAGGTTTCTTCCCCACTCACAGATCATTTCACCAATGCCTTCACTTGATATACTTTGTCAGTCACGCTGGTCTGTGGTAGTTTATTAAACGTACTAACTTCTGGAACTCAATGTTTTTATTGCACACATTCTCAGTGATTAGAATAATTACATCAATATGAAATTAAGCAAAGAAATATGTACATAATGGTGGGCATTATCTTTTATTTTCTCTGGACCAGACAAAGGGCTAGCATTTAGACAATACTATTATAATCTATTTTTGAAAATTCAAAGTGATCTTTCAAAAATATATAATTCATTTCAATGACTTCTTACCATTCTTAGAATCAAATAGCTACATGAGGTAGCCTCTGCCAACTTCTATCTCCCACTTATAGCCTTCCACCAGATTCCGCCACAATGACCTAAAAAGAGTTACTACAATATGCCAAATTTCTACGTGCAAGGCTAATATACGAAGACAAAGGCTTATCTGAGAAAAACTTTTCTAAGTACCAGACCAACTCTACTGAAAATGGACATACAAATTTCAATGTCAGCAAGAAGCTTTTCATTACAAGAAAAAAGTATTTCTGAATTCTACTCTAAGGAACTTTTGAGTTTATTCCAGGCCAGAGGCATCAGAATGATGCTAAAGTCACAACACCAAAAATCTAAAAAGCTTACGGAAATGAAATAAAAACCACTGTTTTACACATGCTAAAATTACATCATAGCTCTTCTAGCTAACCCCTGGAGACTAATGGGAATGGGGAAGCATCTAAAGAAGCAAAATACCAGACTTCTAGTCCCTAACAAAACAAACCTGTGGGGCTGGGAAGGTGACTCAGTGGTAGAGTGCTTGCCTTGCATGCATGAGGCATTGGGTTCCATTCCTCAGTACCACATAAGCAGAAAAAGCCGGAAGTGGCGCTGTGGCTCAAGTGGTAGAGTGCTAGCCTTGAGCTGGGCAGTGCCCAGGCCAAGAGTTCAGGCTCCACAACCGGCAAAAAAACCCAAAAAACAAAAAAACAAACCTGTGCTTGAAAAAAGATAAAATATAGACAGGCATCAGTGGCTCACACCTGTAATACTAGCTACTCAGGAGGTTAACATCTGAGGATCAAAGTTCAAAGCTAGCCCAGGCAGAAAAGTCCTCGAGACTCTTATCTCCAGTTAACCACCAAAAAACCAGAAGTGGCGCTGTGACTCACAGTGGTAGAGCTCAGAGACAGTGCCCAAGCAAGCCCCATGACCAACAAAAATAAAAATAAAAGATTAAACACTAGATGAGAGTGAAAACAAAACCCTTCTCCAAAAGTTTATAATTAAGGACACAAATTGATCATAAGAATAGAAAATATCACCAGGCACCGGTAGCTCACACCTGTAATCCTGGCTACTCAGGAGACTGAGATCTGAGGATTGCGGTTCAAAGCCAGCCTGGGCAGGAAAGTCCATGAAACTCTTATCTCAAATAAACTACACAGAAAACTGGAAGTGGCGCTGTGGCTCAAGTGGTAGAGCACTAGCCTTGAGCTGAAGAACTGAAGGACAGCACCCAGGCCCAGAGTTCAAGCCCCAAGACCAATCAAAATAATAAATAAATAAGTAAATAAATAGAAAAAACAACAAACCTTGAAATGGAATAAATCAATGCTTTAGAGCTAAAGAATTGCTAAACAGTATTACTTAGGCCAAATGTAAGTATATCATCTCATCCATCAGAGAGTAAAAAATTTTAAAGTTGATTTTCTATAACGTAGGCTGGCTGAAACATAATTAGATATAAAAGTTCAGTATGGGGCTGGGAAGGTGGCTTAGTGGTAGAGTGCTTGCCTAGAATGCATGAGGCCTTGGGTTCGATTCCTCAGCACCACACAAGCAGAAAAAGCCTGAAGTGGCACTGTGGCTAAAGTGATAGAGCACTAGCCTTGAGGTGAAAAGCTGAGGGACAGCGCCCAGGCTCAGAGTTCAAGCCCTACATCCGACAAAAAAAAAGAAAAGAAAAGAAAAAAAGAGTTCAGAATAACTCATGGTAGCTATTCTGTAATAAGGTAAGGAATGAGGGAAAACAATGTTTGGAGAATTCCCTACTAACCTTAGGAAAAGCAAAATGTAAAGTACTCTAAGAAGGCTGTTTCTGCCTGTTTTGCTGCTGTCAAGCAAACCAAATGCAACAATGAAGTTGACAGGGGTCCTGGCAATTTTTCACAACTCAACTTTTCAGACTTTCTCTTTACTTTCCTCTTTCCACACAAGCCCTATAACTTAAGTGGAATGGGTTGTTTGCTTTCCTTTGCACACCTTATTTTTCTAACTCTTGTTAGATATCTCTTGTACAGGTCTACATTTTGGTCTGATATGCTTATGTTGCTTAAGAGAAATGCCTGAACTAAACAGCCTAGCTTCCTATAAGATATCCCCCAATCATCTAAGAGAAAATCCTCTCCAATCCCTACCATCTGATTATTGACCAATTGAAGCAGCAGGCAGCCCTTAGGCAGGAAGCCCAAACTCACATGGTATTCTCATGTTGTCGCCTGGGTGTAACAAAGAGCATGCGTGTGGGGCGGGCACTACTGGCATCTGGGTGGGCACTCCATGGCTTGGCATAGCTATGATCCAGAAAAACGAGGTCCAGCTCCCGCTCGTGCACTGAAAGCTGGAAGAGCAGTGAGGTGCCCATGCGCCGAGCAGAAGTCTGGAAGTCCCTCTCACCGCCCCTGTGGGCCATTTCAGAAGAGGGGCAGCTGGTCAGAGCATGAGTATCTGCATGCTAGTCACCTGCAGTGAAAAGTTAAGTGTGTCAATTTGAATATTCTAAATGTCACCCAACTTAGAATCTCTTTAATCTGCTTACTTTGGTGCCCCATTGTCATAGATGAGTACCTGCTATATAGAGAGCACTTGTGCCTAAGATCCCACACCACCACCCTGAAAAGGATGAGACCATGAATTCTTCCTTACTCAAAAGCTACAAACCGCCGGGTGGCTCACCCCTGTAATCCTAGCTATTCTGGAGGCTGAGATCTGAGGATCCCGGTTCAAAGCCAGCGTAGGCAGCTAAGTCCCTGAAACTCAACTCCAATAAACCACCAGGAAACCGGAAGTGGCACTGTAGCTCAAAAGCTGAAGAGCTGAGGGACAGCGCCCAGGCCCAGAGTTCAAGTCCCACGATCAAAAAATAAAAAAGCTGGGCTGGGAAGGTGGCTCAGTGGTAGAGCACTTGCCTTGCATGCTCAAGGCCCTGGATTCGATTCCTCAGCACCACATAAACAAAAAGAAAAAAGCCGGAAGTGGCGCTGTGGCTCAAGTGGTAGAGTGCTAGCCTTGAGCTGAAGAGCTGAGGGACAGCGCCCAGGCCCAGAGTTCAGGCCCCATGACCGGACCCAAAAATAAATAAATAAAAAAGCTGGGGCTGAGAAGGTGGCTCAGTGGTAGAGCGCTTGCCTTGCATGCCTGAGGCCCTGGGTTCGATTCCTCAGCACCACATAAGAAAAAAACAAAAAAGCCGGAAGTAGCACTGTGGCTAGTGGTAGAGCGTTGGCCTTGAGCTGAAGAGCTGAGGAACAGCGCCCAGGCCCAGAGTTCAGGCCCCACGACCAGACCCAAAAAATAAATAAATAAAATAAAAAAGCTACACACCCAGGTAGCTGGAAGCTGAACAGACACCACAGTTCACAAAGACCTATTCGGACAATAAACTTGTGGTAGGCACCACAATTTCCTACATTGAGTAGAGAGGATCTGGGCAAACAACAGTAATCTTAGATGTGAATTCTTCAAAAAAAAAAAAAAAATCAAGTCTTATTTCCATTCTGTGAAAAGAACGTGACCAAGCCGGGACGCTGGTGGTTTCATCTTGTAACTCTAGCTACTCAGGAGGCTGAGATGGGAAAATGGTCATTGGAAACCAGCCCAGTTCATTGAGACTCATCTCCAGTTAATCACCCAAAAGCCGGAAGTGGAGCTGTGGCTCACAAGGTAGAACTCTAGCCTTGAGCAAAAGAAGCTGCGCGGGACAGCCCCCCACCCCCCAGGCCCTGAGTTCAAGTCCCAAGACCAACAAACAACAACAACACTGGGACTGGTACCAGAAACACACACACGGCGCCCCCAAAACAACAGGGCACCGTGTGTCGCGGGGGTGCTCCCCTCCACGTCTCCCCCCACGGTTATTCACGTTCAACAAAAGTTTTGCAACTACTTCATTTTGGAACCACGAAAAGGAGAGCCGTCCCCGCCAGGCCTGCGCGGGGGACGCCCGGGAAGGCCCCGCTCCCACCGCCCGGGAGGGGCGATGCTGCCAGGGGCACCTCAAAAACCTCAGAACCGCCAGGCTTAACGCGCCGTCCACCGACCCCGGCGGGGGCTCCGGGAACGACTCGGCCCCGGTCACCGCGAGTTCTCGGCGGGGACGAGCCGCCCGGCGCCCG